TCCACATTCCTGCCCCGCCAGGCCGCCCCGCGCCCGGCCCAGCGCCGCAGCCCGCAGCCCGCCGCCCGCCGCCCCGCGTCCAGTCCTCCGCCAGCCCGGGATGAAGGCGGCCCAGGCCGCGGGAGAGGAGGCGCCGCCCGGCGTGCGGTCCGTCAAGGTGGTCCTGGTGGGCGATGGGGGCTGCGGGAAGACGTCCCTGCTGCTGGTCTTCAGGAATGGGGCCTTTCCCGAGGTAAGTGCCCCGGCTCACGGCCTGGCGCCATCCCGCACTGGGGAGCCCCAGGGTGCTCGGCTGCCCAGGGTTGTGCACGGCCAGGCTTCCCAGCGGGTCTCCCAAGAGATCGTGGGGGTCTAGGACAGAATTCTTCTGGCTCTGCCATTGGGAGGGATGCTTGGCTGTAAAGTGAGACCAATGGCACCTATCTGGGAGGGGTGTCACAGGGACTGAATTAGGTCACACCTGGATACATAGCAGGTCCTAAGGGAACACTTGGTGGCACAGCTTAGCTAAGACATAGTGACCACTTGGGAGGATTCATATCATGTCTTTGCCATTTTACAAATGGCAAAGTCTCTCACCTTTTCTGTGCCTGTTTCCTTAACTGCTCAATAGGAAGGATAGTGACCACCTGAACTGACAGACAGCTGAGTGAATAGAAGTCAAGTGCTCAGCAACAAGCCTGCACACAGGAAAGACTCGCTGAAAGTTGGTTAATGATCATCTTTGCCAGGGTCTCCTCTTCAGCCCTTATGGCTACACTGCACATCTCCACTCCACCTTGGACGGGAAGAGCACATCAGCTCTGGAGTTGGGTTGTCACCTCCACCCTTCTCTAATGAACCTTGTGCCCCCTAGTGATTTGCTGAGCCTCTCAGATCCTCAGTTTCCTCACAGCAGCCTCATGGGGTGGAGGGACCCTGGAGAGGGGTGAGGCAGAAGTAATCTCAGGCTGATGGCTGTATGTGACATCTGACGCATCTGCTCTGGGCCTGTACTGTCCAGGCAGCCCAGCAAGCACCAAGTATGGGGCAGGGGCTAGGCTCAACTGCTGTACCTCTTTTGGCCCTATGAGGAGTCCATGGGTTTGCCTCCAGTGGCCACTCTTTGTCCTTTCCTATCCTAGCATCCTTTGAGCCCCTGGAAGTCTGATGGAGGAGGCAGGAAAGGCAGGGCCTGTAGACAGTGCTGGGCCTTGCTTACCACTCAGCATCAGCAAGCCACTGGTTTTGTGGTTTGCAGAGCTGACGTCAATTCCTTTGACCAGTTACCCAGTTTTTTTTAGGTTGAGGGAGTGTGTTTCTGGGTCCCCAGATGCTGCCCACAGGAAGTCAACCATTATGGCAACCTGGAGATAGCACCAACATTCTGGATCAGGGATCAGATGTCCTAGGTGGTGACGTTGTTGATGGCAAGAGAGAGCCTACAGTGTAGAAATGGACGCTGTGCAGCCATGAAATACATACATTTAGAGGACACACTGGGGCTACCATTGTCACCAAGGGGATGGATCAGTCTTGTCCAGGCTCTTTCCCTGTCTGGGGACCCTGGATTCCATAGCACAAGAGAGGCCTGTTTTCTGTTTGTTTTTTGAGACAGGGTCTCACTATGCAGCTCACACTGCATATGTAGCCCTCAAACTCTCCATCCTCCTGCCTCTGCCTGCTTAGTGCTGGGATTATAGGCAAAGAGGCCTTTGGAGTTTTTGTTTTGTTTTGTTTCTGCGGTACTGAGGTTTGAACTCAGGGCCCACACCTTGAGCCACTCCATCAGCCCTTTCTTGTGATGGGTTTTTTCGAGATAGGGTCTGTAGTGCTATTTGCCTGGGGCTGGCTTTGAACTTCAATCCTTCTGATCTCTGCCTTCTAAGTAGCAAGGATTACAGGTGTGAGCCACTGGCACCCAGCTAAAGATACCTTCTTCTTTTTTTTTTTTTTTTTGGCTAGCACTGGGGTTTGAACTCAGGGATTTCACACTTGTTAGGCAGGTACTCTTAACGCTAGAGCCACTCTGCCAGCCCCAGAGAGGGGCCTCTTCTTATAAAGAACCACAAGATTCAAGTACAGGAGCCAGGTGCCTGTCATCCTAGCTACTTAGGAGGCAGAGATCAGGAGGATCACAGTTCAAAGCAAGCCTGGGCAAATAGTTCTCAAGACCCTATCTCAAAAAACCCTTCCCAAAAATAGGACTGGCAGAGTGGCTTGTGGCTCAAGGTGAAGGCCCTGAGTTCAAGCCATCTCAAAAACCCTTCCCAAAAATAGGACTGGCAGAGTGGCTTGTGGCTCAAGGTGAAGGCCCTGAGTTCAAGCCCCAGTACCGCATAAAAAAAAAAAAAAAAAACCAAGATTCAAGTACAGGGAGGAAAGGCTTCACTTCATAGATAGGAAAACCCAGGCCAGGAAGGCAGTGTCCTGCTGCCGTAGCAGTGCTGGTCTGGAGCCCAAGTCTCCTTCCCCACCAGGGCACTCTCAACAGCCCAGTGCTCTGCCCCCTGAACCTAACCTGGCCTCCTTTCTCCAGGCAGCCCTGGGAGCCCAGGGAGCCAGCAGCTCTGCAGTGTGGGGGCTGCCTCCCAGGCTTCCTACCTGTATCACAGGGCAAAGAGCAGGCTGGGTATTTGGAGAAGCCTCAGTGGTCATCAGTTGTGGTCCAACCTCAAGTTCAGGGCAGAGGGAGCAAGGTGGGAGAGCTCTCGGGGCAGGGAGGGACCCCAGGGCTGTGTGCCTACCATTTCCACAGGGTGGGGCTAGGAGGTGGCAGGGAGCTCCCAGTCCTACCTGCCTACTGAACACGCTGAACCTTCCCGGTCCACACTCAGACCCCCAGAGACGTCCTACCTGGGAAACCCTGACACCCTCTCACTGTGTCCTTATCCTGTAATGGTCCACTCTGTGTGAGCCCCATGCTGGGAGGTACCAGACTGACTCACTTATGTCTGGCCCAGCACAAGCCCAGCCAGGCCTTCCTGACTGAGTACAGTTCAGCAGATAAGATTAGGCATTTTATTGGTCCCATGGACACAGGGGGCCTGGCTGGGGACTCAAAGAGCATGACAGAAGGTATAGACAAGAATCTCCAAGACAACATTCCAGAATAAGTGGAAGGCGGAAGGACCGTACTGTCAAGGGGACCCAGCCTGCTCATTCCTGAAACTCAGGAGAGGCAGGTAGTTGGGGACAGAGCCTCCTGTCTCTGGAACCTGACAGACCTGGCTCTGTCACTAGTCAGCTGTCTAGTGCATCACCTCAGGCAAGTCACTTCCTCTCCCAGGGTCCCCTCAGGAAAATGAGGATTCACTGACATTCCAAGGTTGCAGGGGTCAGAGATGGCACAGTAAATTGCCATATGGAGAACTGTGGAGCGTGTAGGCAGTGGGGCCATCACCACAGGGTTTGTAAAGCACTGGCATGTGTCTCTCAAGAGCTTCATACAGCATCCCTGCAGCTCAGATCAGGAGACCCCCAACTGGTGAGTGGGTGGGCCAAGCTGGGGGCTCAGACACAGGCATCAGTGCCTCCAAGATGACAGGCCCCTGCTCCAAGGCAGATGTGGTGGTTAGGGAAGGAGTGGGGAAGGTGGCATCTGGAGGGATGTATTGGGGCTGGTGCGGACACGGCCCCTGGCAACCAGGTAAGTAGTGAGCATTCATGCTAGGGCCTCAACTGCCAGTCTACCCTCCCTAAACATTGTGAGGTAACACCTTTCCCTTTAACCAATGATGGGGCTGGCCTGAAGCCACAGCTACTGGATGCCAGAGCCTGATCCTAAGCCAAGCTTCTATGATCCCAAAGCCAGTGCTCCTCGCTACCACGTCACAGTGCGATCTAGGCCTGAGGACGGGGTCTTGTGTAAGCGGGAGAGGTGGGTTATGATATTCTCGTATGTTTCTATTGGATCCTGTTGGTAGAGGGAGTGATGGCGTGGTAGGTTCAGGGCAGGCCATCTGGACTTCTCCATCTTTCCCAACTGCCTAGTTTAACCCCCATTGCATGACCTCCCAGGTGACCTAGAAGACAGTGCTGACCCACTGCCATGGTTGCTCCTCCCAGCTTCCCAGGGCCTGACTCAGAGGGCCAGCAGGCAGGCACGAAGTCCTCCTGACTCACAGACAGGTGGGGGCCCCACACACACTATGGGCCCACCAGCCAATCCTGAGCAAGTGATGAAGGCCTGGGGACCCAAGACACAGGAGAGCCACAGATACCCTTTTGGGGCAAAAAAAGTACCCAGTTGTGACAGAGTTCAAAAAACCTCCTTCCCTGTTTCTTAGGCCCTGTTCTGCAAAGCCTCCTCTTCCTTCCTGCATTTCCCTCTGAGTACCAAACCTGTCCTGTTTGCCATTTATCAGCCTTTGTGGAGAGGGAGCATGTTCAGGCCAGGGAATGCTGGGGTTGGGGGTCTCTGCCCTGGGTCACCTGCCCCTGAGAGGCAGAAACGGGGCCATGTGGGAGGAGATCAGGAAAGGCAGTCTGGGGGAAATGGTGCTTGACAGGGGTCTTGTTTGGATTTCAAGAGGTTGAGAGGCATAAGAAAGACCCCCCCCCAAAATGGCATGAGCTCCCCAAGGCAGGTTCTAAGTCTTATTTATTGCCTGTTCTTCAGTGTCCCAAACTGAGCCCAGAGAAGATACTGATGTTTGCTGAATGAATATATGAATGAAGGAACAGATGTAAGCCACTGTCATACTAGTAGGAATGAGGCTCAGAAGGGGGCCTCTGTCTAGGGAGGCAAAGATAACCAGAAGCTGGCATGTCCTGAGTGCTTATTTTGTACTAGGTTCTGTGCTAAGGGCTCTACATGACGTATCTCATTGACTCCTTATAGCAACACTCTATGGTAGGGACTTTAATCTTCCCCTTTCATACTAGAGGAGAACAAGGCCAAGAAGGGTGGGGACCTAGCTGGCACCCCAGCTCCTAGCCCCGTTCCCCCCAGGCTACCTAGGAGCCTTCCCAGGAACTACTCTGGTATGCAGGCATTCCTGGGATTCTGGCCTGCCCCAAGCATCTCATGGCCCCTCCCCATTCTTCCTCAGAGTTACACCCCCACGGTGTTTGAGCGGTACACTGTCAATCATCAAATGAAGGGCAAACCTGTGCATCTCCAAATCTGGGATACAGCAGGTTGGTGTGGGGGACTGGGGGAGGGATAGGGAGGAAGAGGGGTTTCTGGGGGCCCCAGATTTCTGGGACCGAGCCCTGCCCTCTGCCTTCTGAAGCAGGGAGGCCAGCCAGTCTCCAGGTGACAGGGTTGTCAGGATTGGGGGGGCGTCCCAGAAAGTCCAACTGTCCTAGCTTGTGCACCTGGGTCTGCCTACCTCTCCACCCCAGGGAAGCCCATGAGTCTTGGAGGTGAGCAGAATCCAGGGCTCTTTGCTTGCAAGGGGTGGGCTGGCCTGGCCCTGGGCTTTCTACCCTGACCGTGGCCACTGCCCTTCAGTCTCCTGGCCTCGTCCACACAAGGGTTAGCTCCAAGCTAACCTCAGGGAGTCACAGCTGCCCTCTTCCCTCCAATGGGCTAAGATGTCTTTGCGATGATTCTGCCTGCCTTTCTTCTCATCAACCAAACCCAGGGTAAACCGGGCTTAGGAGGGACAGGCCTCAGTTCCTCCAGACTGCCCCCAGCCTGGTCTCTGTCTTGCGTCCAGTCCTTCCAGAACAGGACCTCCCATCAATGCTGTCCCTAGGCCAGGGCTCTCCACAGGCAGGCCAGCTAAATGCTGCTCCCCAGGAGAGGGGCACAAAACCAGGCCCTGCCCTTCAGAAGCCCCTTCCTGTTGGGATCACCTCCCTAATGTTGGGGAGGTGCTGACAGCAGCCAGGATCTGGAAGGAGTGACCCTCCCACACTCTGCCCAGGGCAAGATGACTATGACCGCCTACGGCCCCTCTTCTACCCCGATGCCAGTGTCCTGCTCCTCTGCTTCGATGTCACCAGCCCAAACAGCTTTGATAACGTCTCTAACCGGGTAAGTACTGGGGTGAGGGAGGCAGTCCCCATAGCCAGGCCACTTTGCTCCCCACCCATGACCCGGTGACCATCAGAGCTTGGTCAGTGCTAGACGACATGGAGTCTAGTGCCTTTGCCATATACATATGGGAAAACTGAGGCCCAGGGGGGCACAGTGACTTCCTCAAGGTCACACAGGGATTTGGTGTCAGAGTCTGCCCTGGTCTGTGCTTCCTTACCTGCCCTCTACTGTGGACTCAGAACACACCAGCCACCAGCTTTTTTTTTTTTTTTTTTTTGACTACAAATTTGCTAGGCAGTTATTCAACCACCTAAGCCATGCTCCCAGTCCTTTTTGCTTTAGTATTTGTATGTAAAGGTCTGCTTTTGTTTTGCCTGGAGCTGGTTTTGGGCATGATTCTCCTCCATCTTTCTCCCTATATAGCTAGAATTACAGGCACACACCATCACACCCAGCTTGTATTTGGGATGACTTTTTGCCCAGGCTGGCCTTGAACCATGATCCTCCTGATCTCCGCCTCCCAAGTAGCTGAGATATTCATTTCATGCCTAGCTCCAGAATACCAGCTCTTTCAACTGTGACTCTTCTTGAGAATACTGTGTCACAGAGGTCTCTATCTCCCTAGCCCACGCCTGCCCAAGGCTGTGTGAACCATAAAATCAGATTCTAGCAGCACTCAGCAACCCCACCCCCCAGGTACCCAGCTGCTGTCTTTTTGCGGCCCCCAGGATGCCTTGAAGCTGCATGGGGTTCCCACAGTGCTCAAAGGTATCAAGGATGTAGCCCCCTTGAGTTACTCCACCCTCCCCACTGCTACCAGGACCTCCACACAAATGGCACATTCCAGATTTCCTCAGGGCATTGCCAATGACAGCATTAGTAATGACAACAACAAAATCGTGGCAGCAACATTTATTTAGAATTTACCATGTAGCTGAGCATGATGGTGCACACCATAATCCCAGCTACTCAGGAGAGACAGGAGGATCAAGAGTTCAAGGCCAGCCTCAGCACAGTCAGTGAGGCCCTATCTCAAAAACAAAGTTAAAAAACTAAAGGGAGTCAGTACCTGTGGCTCATGCCTATAATCCTAGCTACTCAGGAGGCAGAGATCAGTAGGATCCAGGTTTGAAGCCAGCCAGGGCAAATAGTTTGCAAGACCCTATCTTGAAAAAACCCATCACACACACACAAAAAAAAGGCTAGTGGAGTGGCTCAAGGTGTAGGCCCCGAGTTCAAATACCAGCACCGCAAAAGAAGAAAAGTTAAGACCTTATCTTGAAAGAGACCATCACAAAAAGTAAAAAGGGCAGCCAGGAGTGGCTCAGGTAGTAAGAATGCCTGCCTAGCAAGCATTAGGCCCTGGATTCAAATTCCAATACTGCCAAAAAAAACCCCTTACGTCTGGGGGCATGGCTCAAGTGGTAGAGCCTTAGCCTAGTAAGTGTGGGGCCCTGTGCTCAAACACCAGTACAGCCAAGAAAGGAAGAAAGGAAGAACTGATCTTGTACTAGGCACTGTTCTTGGCACTACATGCACTTATTTGCTTATTTCACCCCTAACAACCTTGTGGAGTAGATACTAGTATTATTTCCGCCTTGAGTTACTTATTCAAAGATACATATCTATTAAAGTGGCAACTCTAGGATTTCAACCCAGAAAGTCTGCCACATGCAATCATTCAGAGCTATTAATCGAGCACATCTCTATGCCAGGTGCTGTTCTAGGCACTGGGGACAAGGAGGGACAGTGGTGCCTGGGACCAGGGTGTTAGCTATGGGGATAGAGGGGGTGGGGCGTGGGTGGATTCTGAACTGACCTGGAAGGCAGAGCCTGGAGGATTTGCTGATAGACTGGATGTGGATGTGAGGGAGAAGTTGGGACCAGAGGAGGCAGAAGGTGGAATTGCCATTCCCGAGATGAGAAGGGACCGACTGGGACAGGCTGCACACCCAGTGTTGAGGCTGGAGCCTCTAGTCCCTGGGGAGCACAGGCCTGGCTGGAGAAGCCAATTCAGAGCTGCCAGTCGGTCAGATGGGTACAACCAGGGACCTGGGACCTAGAGCAGCTAAGGGAAAGGAGAGACCACTTCCCTGAGCCCAGTGGGGAGGAGGGTGTGAGCTGATGAGATCCGAGAGAACCAAGAGAGTGGGGTCCTGGGTCCAGTGTGGATCTGTTGCAGAGGAGGGGATGATCTGATTTCAAGGTTGCCATGGGCTCAGCCCAACTGCAGACTCACTGTGGGGTTCAGTAGAGCCACCCAGGAGCCCCTTCCCATGGGTGGGACATGGGGAGTCTGTCTAGAACCCCAGCTAGGTCCCATTGGGGCTCCAGGAGTTGGACCGTTCTGCCAGTTTTTCCTGGACAGTGCAGCCTCTCTCTGCTTCTCCAGGGCCCTAGCTGTGGTCTAGGCTAAAATAACCTGGCCCCAATGACCTCTCACTTCACAGAGTAGTGACACAGGAGGGGCCCTTCCTCCAATGGGCAAACAGTTGCAGCAGACAGCTGCTGCAATCATTTTGTAAGCTGGTTTATTTGGCCCAGTTCAGGAGGCAGCCAGGAGAGTCCTTACCTTGCAGAGGGGCTGGGAGGAAACAGAGCTCTGGGCTCAGTGTCTCAAATCCTGCCATTTTCAGTTGTGTGACCAAGGCCAAGTTTCATAGCCTCTTAGTGACCACACCTGTACAGCGAACTTGCTGCTAGGACTCCAGGGGTTAATGAGTTCCCATGTGTAGATTCTTAGATGGGAAACTGGCCCTGAGTACTTGTGCTCTAAATGTTAGCCAGGCCGATTATGGTTGTTGGAGTCCAGCCTGGGGAGCAGGAGGGTGGCCCACTGAGGGACAGAGCCTCCCCATGGCTTACACTTTCTTTGCTTTGTGCCTTGCAGTGGTACCCTGAGGTGACTCACTTCTGCAAGGGAGTGCCCATCATCGTGGTGGGCTGCAAGACTGACCTGCGCAAGGACAGGACCCTGGTGAACCAGCTTCGGAAGACTGGGTTGGAGCCTGTGACCTACCACAGGGTAGGAAGCCCAGCCAGGTGGTGAAGGGACTGGAAGGGCGCCTCAGGATACCTTTCCCCTGTGCCTGGCGGGAAGCATTTTTTGGGGGATCCTTAGAGGCTGTCCAGGGTCAGGAACTGCCAACGCTTGGAAAGAGTACCTAGTATATCTGGAAGGTTCTGCCCAGAGAGGGAAGAATAGGGTATATCCATGCCAGACCTTAGTCCTAGCCACCAACTTCACAGAGGCAAGCCATTATTCATTCTGCTACACGTGTGCCTGGGTCAGTTGGAAGTTCATTAACTGGGGCCTTGAGAGGCAGAGACCCAACCTGGCCCTAAGGCCACAGTATGAAATGTTGGTCAGGAGCTGAGGGTCCCTAGAAAAGGCCACTTTCACTGTTTTCCCAAAGATCCCCACTGGACCAAGAGGGCCACAGGGAGACTGGGAGTGAGGTCGCCCCCATGCCCGCTCACAGCAGCCCCATCCATCTCTCTCTAACAGGGCCAGGAGATGGCGAGGTCCGTGGGCGCAGTGGCCTACCTCGAGTGCTCTGCTCGGCTCCATGACAACGTGCACGCCGTCTTCCAGAAGGCGGCCAAGGTGGCTCTCAGTAGCCGCAGTCGCAACTTGTGGCGGCGGATTACCCGGAGCTTTTGCGTGGTGACCTGACCGACCCGGGGCCCTCCCTGTCCCCGACTGCCCCCGGCAACTTAGAGAAAGAGCCCCCGTGCTGACCTTCTGCAAGTTGGCTGGGCTGGACCCAGACGCCAGGCTGGACCTACCGAACTGCATCTCCACAGATGGGTACCGTGAGGCCAGACTCTGGGGCTTGGGAACCCGGAACTGAAGAAGTGGGGTCCCGGGCCACCCAGCCCTGGAACCATTCACAGACTCCCAGCGCCCAGCCCTGAACCCAACATCCTGGGCTGGCCTGGCCTGCGCAGCCTGGCCTGGCGCCACCTCGTGGCTGCTCGCGGGGCTGCACCTGCAGGACCTGGTGGGGTTCTTCAGGACCATCCTGCCAGAACCCACACCCTGCCCCTTTCCCCTTTGCAGTACTTGTCCCACTGGTAAGTGTAAAAACTAAAAATTACACCACTTGTTATCTCTGTCCTGCCTCTTGCTTCAAAGGGTCTTTACACACTTTCCAAAGTGGCTAAGAGCCCACCCCTGTAGGCACTGGGGTGAGACCGCTTGGATCCAGACACAGCTTTATCACTTGGGGAAAGTTCTTCTGGGCCTCAGCCTTCTTATCTATAAAGCAGAACCAACCTCCGGGTGCTGGTGGATCACTCCTGTAATCCTAGATACTCAGGAGGCAGAGATCAAGAGGATTGAGGTTCAGAGACAGCCCAGGGAAATAGTTCACTAAATAAATAAATAAATAAATGGCTGGTGGAGTGGCTCAAGGTGTAGGCCCTGAGTTCAAACCCCAGTACCATAATAAAAATAAGAAGAAGAATCCTGTGTGCAGCAACCTGCAGACCCTCCAATGTCACCATGACAACCTTATCATCTCCCCTGGTCTCCCTCTCCAGGGAAGTTCCTTTTCTCTCCTGACAGTTTCCCCACCCACCTCTTCATCCTAGGGCCCCTCCTCTGTATGTATTCCACAATGTTACAGTCAGACTTGGCTTCTCTCTCTGTCTCTTTCTGTACAGTCTTGCTATGTGGTGCAGGTTGGCCTTGAACTTGAGATCCTCCTGCCTTTGCCTCCTGAGTGCTGGATTACAGGTGAGTGCCACTATACCTCGTAACTAGTCCTAATTTTTCTAATAGGCTTTAAGTACACAGGCTTTGGAGTCCCTGTGTGACAGCCCTAACTCTTGTCATAGTGTCAGACAACCAGAGAACCCCTTAAATACCAGGCTGTTATAGGAATAATGATTGAGGCCCTGGTGTCTCAGGGAAGGAACCTGAGCCAACACCTGGATCTCCTGACATCTTGTCAGCAACTCACCCTCACCAGCCAGCCCATGTTTCTCAAAACTGCTCTCCACCTGGCCCTGTGCTAGGCACCTGACAAGCATTTCCTCACTTCATCCTCTCTGCAACCCTAGAGAATGGGCATGACTAATCCGATTGTCAGATGAGATATGGAGGCTTCTGAGGGTAATTTGTAAAATCACAGAGCTATGGAAATGGCAGGACTGAGATTTGGACCAGACCTGCTTCTGCTCCCAGAGATGGAGCACTCTGCAGTACCAAGAGGGAAAGCCACAGGCTCAACAAGGGAATGTGAACAAAGAAATGAAGGAGACAAGGATCCTGACTTCAAGGAAGTTGACGTTTCACACAACAAAACGGATCTGCAAGAACTCAGTGGAAAAAGCACCATAGCTCGGGCTGGGTAGGCCAGTGGTAGAGCACTTGTCTAACATGTAGGAAGCCCTGGGTTTGATCCCCAGCACTGCAGGGAGCTGGGGGTGGGGGCAGAGAAGGCATCAAAGCAGAATACTTATCTAGGGCTCTCCAGGAATGCATATTTGAGGAAATCAGAGGACTGTCCAGATGTAGAGTAGGAAAAAGCATTCGGAGTGTGGGATATGCTTAGGGGAACAGCAATCCTATTCCCGAACAACTTGGACTAAACCCAAAGTAGAGCTGTCATCCAGGTGGGGTTTTCCACATGACCCCAACATTATTCACCTGCCACAGCTCAGCCCTGTTACCTGAGTTGTGGGTGGGCCCTCACCTGGAGCTGATTCAGATGAAACTGCTGGGCTGGGTGCTAGTGGCTGGTTCTCATTGAATGTCATGTGTTTTGGGCCTGAAAGAAATGGCCAGTTCTGGCTCACAGATTAATGTGATACAGTCCAGGTCTGCTCAGGCTCAGGGTTCAGTGATGTTAGCAAATACACTTTTGGATTTGGTCAGATGGGGTTTACCAAGTGCTTAGTGTTCACATTACAGTAGCAAAAGCTCAGATTTCAGCCAGAGCACGTGGGTGTGCCTGTAGCTACTGTTTCATGGTTTGACTCAGGTCAGGCCTTCAAGCATGAGAGCCATTCATTCATGCCAGAAATGAATCTGGACCAGGGAGGAATGGGGTGGGAAGACTCAGATCATATCCCAGTTGGGCCCAAGACTCTTTTAGGAAATGACTTCCCCTTAAGCCCCTGCAGGATTCTAAGTCTATTTGAAGTAGGCTACTTACAGAATCAGTTGTGATGAGTTCATATTTACTTAATATTTGCCAAGTGTCAGGCATGTGAAATATACCATTTAACTAAGGTGAATGGCTGGTGAACTAGATTCTATACAACACCTGCCTCATGGATGAAGAGACAGAAATACAAAGAGCTCAGCGACCCACTCATGACATCAAGAGTGGCAGAGAGTCAGGCACTGGTGGCTCATGCCTATAATCTTAGCTACATAGGAAGCAGAAATCAGGAGGATCATTGCAAGCCAGCCCTAGGCACATAGTTCTTGAGACCCTATCTCAAGAACTATTTGCCCAAAAACCCATCATGAAAAAGGGTTGGTGGAATGACTCAAGGTGTAGGCCCTGAGTTCAAACCCCAGTACCACAAAAAAAAAGAAAAAGAAAAAAAAAAAGTGGCAGACCCCAGAACTGTCTAGGTTATCAGGTCCTAGACCCTGGTCCTGATCTACCTGCTCTTGCCACCAACTCTGGACCCTGCCTTATACCAATTTTTCCTGACCCCAAGGAGCTCAAAGTTTAGGGAGAACTCTTGGAAGTGTCTTTCAGGGGTTGACAGAGCCCCCCGCCTCACTCATCTTCCTCCTGCCCTCAACACTACCAGTCTCTTTGGATGTGGTGGGCTCAAGGCTGTGAGGACCAGCTAGGTTAGTCCCAGAACCCAGCTGGTTGGGAAAGTCAGTTCATAGTGTCAGAACAGGAAGCAGGCTGGGAACCCAGCAGGAGGGGCATGGACTGGAATTTATTGGATCCCCACCAAGTTCATTTCAGAGAAGGAAACAAGGACTGGAGGGAGAGTGACCTCTGTAGAGTCTGTGGCCATAGGCTGACGTTTAACCCTGGTTTTCACTGCACTTTCCTGAGGAGGTCAAGGTCAGGGATGAACCTCTCTCTGTGGATAAAGTAAAACAAGATGGGGTTAGGGAGCTGGAGGATCCAGGGATGTGCAGAGGTGGAGGAGGGACACCTGGGACCACCACGAGAAGGGAGAGGGAAGCAGACACTTGGCCTGGCCTGTTGGGGACCCCTGGCTGGAGAGAAGAGTCCATACATGGGAAGGGTGGGAGTCAGAATACATATGTTTGGCTTTCTAACCCTGTCCTTGCCAAGGGCCACTGTCTCCTTTACTTCCTTCCAGAGCTCATCACCACTTGAAAGGGCCCTGTCTCCTCCTAAAAGCACAGACTAGGTCTCAAAATGCCTAGCACACAGCAAGCACTAAGTGAATACGTAATCAAAGAGGGAATGAATGCTTTCCTGCAGACCCTTACCCTATCTGGCCCCATAGCATCCTCCACCACTCACAGAACCATCTTTTTTTTTCTTTTTTTTTTTTTGTGCTACTCTGGCTTGAACTCAGGGCCTTCACTATAAGCCACTCCACCAGTCCTATTTTTGTGAAGGGTTCTCCAGATAGGGTCATGCTCTCAGGCTGGCAACCTCAATCCTCCTAATCACTGCCTCCTGAGTAGCTAGGATTGCAGGTGTGAGCCACTGGCCCCAGGCTAGAGCCATCTTTCAAAGCACAAATCCAGTCACAAGACCACCGGGCACAAAGACTTCCACAGCTCCTCCACCCAGAGAAGCTCAGCCTAGGGCTGTCCTATACTAGGCCCCAGTCCAGATCCCCTGGGCCTTATCCCCAGGACACCTCACCACACCTACTCCTGCCATACACAGGGGCACTGACTTCCAAGACCTAGTCCAGGCTCTTTTCCTCTCAGCACACTCTTCCTGTCAGTCATGGAGGCACAAACCTCCCTCCACCCCAGATCCTTCAGGATCCTGCTCAGACACCATCTTCCCTAGGAAGCCAGGCCCCGATTGGCTTTCTTCTCCACTGAGCTCACAGGCCAAGGTATCCCTTCTATGCACTGGCCCCTTGGTCTAGGACTGGGCCTTTTCTTCCCTTGCTATAGGGACAAAAGCTGGACTGGAGTCCCTAAGATGACAGCTCTGGTGGTGATGAGGCAAGGTGTATGGGAGGGTGGAGGCGGGAGCTGGGAGACCAGTTGGGCAGCTGCAGACATCCAGACAGAAGGAACAAGCCACCACAAGTCAAGGCTTGGTGGCTTCTGGGCTGACAGTGCAAAGGGTGAACTGTAGGGACACTGAGAGTAAGAGAAGAATGTATCTCCCACCTCCATGAGAAATACCAAGAAGGGTGGCCCACATCTGTAATCCAGCCCCGGGCAAATAGACCCTATCTTGAAAAAACCCATCACAGAAAAGAGCTGGTGGAGTGGCTCAAGGTGTAGATCCTGAGTTCAAACCCCAAGACAGAAAAAAAAAATACCAAAAAGACCATCTTGTCCCAGAGGCAGGGACTGCCCATCTCCCCATGTGGTCTGTGTTTCAGAGTCCCATATGGTGCAGCCATATATTGCCACCCAGGTGACAGAGAAGAGCATGCAGAGGGTGTGTGTGGAAGCACCTCCTCCTCACCCAACAATCCCCCTTTCAGTTCCTACAACCCAGCTGGCAGGGCAGGCGTGGCCAGACAAGTGGGAGCCAGTGGGGAAGACACAGCCCAGAGGCCAGCTGGGGCCAAGAGCCACAAACCACAGTGCCTCCACCCAGCCTTGGGGTTGTCTGCTGGGAAGGCAGGGGGCAGGGGTGGGGACCCCAAGCCATCACCTCCAGGACAGGCCACTCCCTGGCCTCCTCAGGGTGGGGCAGGTAGAGCTCACACTGTGCATCATAAACTTTCCTCTCTTCTCCGCCTGAATAGCATCCTGGGGGGCCCAAGCTGGAGTTCAGGGAGAGGGTGGTGGCTACAGATCACACCACTTCAGTCCCCTCCCCTTGCTCTCTGTGGCCTCCTTTCCCTCCTGGGGACTGTCCTTTGAAGGATGAGTACTCACAGCC